GAGAAGCAAGAAGGTGGCTGTCTACAAGCCATGGAGAGAGGCCTCACTAGAAACCAGCTCTCTTGACATCTTGATCTTGGACTTCCAGCTTCCAGAACTGTGAGAAAATCAATGTTTTTTAAGCCACCTGGTAATATAGGTTCCAGTTTTGGCTTCAGTGTATAGTATTCGTGAGGCCTCTAAGACTGTTTCCTTATGAACAGTGTGCTATGCCTTGTTTGCCACTTGTTGTAAGGATTCAGTAAGCAAATATAATAGTTTCCTCCTTGTCCATGGGGATAAGTTCCAAGACCCCCATTGGATGCCTGAAACTGTGGATAGTACCAGACCCTATTTATACTGATTTTTCCTCTACATACTGACCTATGATAAAGTTTAATGCCTTGTCCATCTTAACTAAGTACTTATCCCACATTGTGGCAGTAACTCGTAGTTTGAGGAATAACAGCAAAACTACCACAAATTTCTTTTTTCTTCTTCACAATTTCAAGATCTTAGCAAGCTCTCGTAGGCTTACAGTTGTTTTCCTTTCCTCATTAAGTCAAGAACTTTCACCTTTTCACTACTCCGTCACTTTGGGGCCATCATTAAGTAAAATAAACATGCCTTGAACACAAGCACTGCAACATCTCCACAGTTGATTTGATAACTGAGATAGCTACTAAAAGACTAACGGGCAGGGAGCGTATATGGTATGGAAATGCTAGACAAAGGGATGATTCACATCCCAGGCAGAAGCAGGACAGCACAAGATTTCACCTACTCAGTGCACAATTTAAAACTTATAAGTTGTTTATTTCTGGAATTTTTCATTTAATATTTTCAGACAGAAGTTAACCATGGGTAAACGAAACTGTGGAAAGTAAAACTGGATGAGGGGGACTACTGTTAGTGCTTTATCCGTCAGTACCTGGTATGGCAACCATTCAATACACCTTTTTTTGTTTTTTAATAAGCCTTAAAAGGGTCTATAAGTTATTTTAATGGGGCTTTCATATGGTTTTGTTTCTTATTTAATCAGATAATTCTAACCAGACATTTACATATGAAAGCAATGACAAAAGAAATTATTTCTGGATAACTGGGTTGGGTCTTTTTAAAAACTGTCTTATTAAGATATTCATATTCTATACAATTAATCTATTTAAAGCTTGCAATTCAGTAGTTTTTAGTGTATTCACAGATATGTGCAACCATCACCGCAGTCAATTTTAGAACTTTTTTATCACCTCACCCTTCAGCTATCATCCTCTTTACCCACCTACTACCCCCAACCCTAAGCAACCACTGGAATACTTTCTATCTATAATTTCTTTGGTCTGGATTTTCATATGAATGGAGTCATATAATTTTAGCTTTGGGGCTTACTGGCTGCTTATATTATTTCCTTGAATATTTTTTCCACTCCTCCTCTCTCCCCTCTCATCGCGCCTTCACCCCAGGCACTCCTATTGTATGTATGTTGGTGTACTTAATGGTATCCCTCATTTCTCTAAAGCTCAGTTCATTTTCTTCATTTTTTTTTTTTTTCCTCACTGTTCTTTAGTTCGCATAACCTGTATTGCTCTGTCTTCAAATTCACTAATTATTTTCTTCTGCCAGTTCATATCTACCATTGAGAGCTTTGGTGATTTTTTTTATTTCAGTGATTGTACTTTTCCAGAATTCCCACTTGGTTGTTTTTTTTTCTGTTTTTTTTTTGTTTTTTTAATTTCATTAAATTTTTTCAGTTTTCGTATTTATAATGGCTGTTTTGAAGTCTTTTTTGAAAATCCAATACCTGGTCACTCTCACTGGCATTTGTGTTGCCTTTTTTCTCTCTGCTTTGTTGTTCATGCTATCCTATTTCTTTGCATGCCTCATAATTTTTGTTGGAAAGCAGATTGTTTAGATAGCATATTGTAGCAACTCTGGATACTGGTACCTCTCTCCCAGGCTTATTATTTGGAGTTATTTGTTTGTTTTGTGATTGCTTGGATTATTTTATGAAGTCTACTCCCTGCCATGTTAAGTCTCTAACATTGTGTCTGTTGTTTTTAACAGTGCCCTGGGGCATAAAATTTTCTACAAACTCATCCAATAAAATTGGCCCCTTTTAAAAAATAGTTTCTGAGGTCAGTGTTTGATATTTGTTCTGACCCCAGGAAAGCTCCTCCAGCTGTCTTATTCCTGATTCTCTCCTGCAAACTAGGCTGTATCTTTATTAAAACCACAAATCTCTTCCCAATTGCCTTTCACCACAACCTCCATTGTTCTTGAGAGCACCCTTAAGTTTGAGCTTCTCCATATTCTATTGGAAATGAAGTTAGTTCCTTTGGGAAGCGATTAGGAGCTGTTTTATGGCCTGCCTCTACTTCTACCCCCTCAGCAAAATCTTTGAGCCAGGGCTCTGGAGCTTGGGGTGGAAAGAATGGCAGGCTTTTTTATGCGGTAGCTGAGTGGTAGGTAGAGGTGGAGTGGGAGTGACAGCAGCTCGAGGTCCTCTTGGCCGGCCTTTCTTGGCATAGAACCACGGTGTCGTGAGCCAAGGCAAGGACGAGTACTCTCAGTGTGCTAAATCCAAGGAAGAGTCCCCATTCCACTGGTGGGGGCAGAGAAGGGAGTTCCCAGCTCTTGGCTGCACTTGCCGGGAACTTAGTCTCCGTACTAGTTAGCTGAGATGAGAAGCACCGATGTCCTGCTCCTCACAGGAAGAAAGCCCTCTGCTGGCTTAGGGGGCTTGGCTGCAGCAGTCTGGAGTGGGATCTTCCTTGCTGAGCTTGTTGGAGGGAGCAGACTTCATTCAGACACCATGGGCTCTCACTTTTCTTACCAAATTTTTGTAGGATTTCTCAAGTAGAAGTTTCTTCATTTGTTGTCTACCTTTTCAGAGACTTTAAATGTTTTGTTTCTATTTTTGTTTTAATAATTTTCACCAGTTTCACTGGGGAGCAGGTCCTCATGCTGTCATCTTAGAAGTTGATCTTCCTGGGTTAATTTTTCTAAGTTTTCTATAGGAGAAAGTATAAGTAGCTTATTAAAGAAGGTTAGTTTTCCAGGAACGTGGGTGAGCAAAACAGTGACATTTTTAAGTTGATGGGTTAACAGGAGATAAAGGCTAATGAATTCAGAGGAAGGATAATGTGGTAGGATGGGGAGATAAAAGGAAGACATAGTAGCCTGCCTGTCTGGATCCCTTTATGGGTTTGGGATACTTTTAAAGACTTGGACTTAAATGTTTGAAAACCTAGTCTTAGAGAATGTGAATATGTGGATTCTATTTATTTGCTTGCTGAACAACTAGTATTATCTCACTGTTCAGTTGTGTCATTTTAAAATGGAATACATTTTTCCAATTTAATATATTTTATGCATAAACACTTTTAGCAACCCCCCAGAAGCATTAATAAACCCAAATTAGACTTTGCTTCATATAACAGTGAAGTCACACATCTGTGAGAAAATTTTTTTATTGAATATTAACTTTATACTTGACAAGAAAAGTTGATTCATAGAGCAGCTGTGATATAGCAAACTTGGATTATTATATTCAAAGTTGCTAGTCTGTATAGTGATATTTGTAACTTTTAAAGAGTGACAATTATGTATTCTTCAGGAACCATAAGACTTGTGTGTTAAGACAACATTGTATTAACATGACAGACTTAGTTCCTATTTTTTTTCCTTTCAAATGTTGGTGCCAGTCTGTCTGAATCAAATGATTTCAGGTGAAAATTAAAAAACTGAAAGGGCTTTCTGTTTTTCATCTAGTTCAGAAGCAGAAGAAAAGCACTGAGCATTGTTTGAGTACCTGTTTATCTTCCCCCCAAAAGTTTTTTTTTTTTTAATCCTGTTCATTAGGAAACCATAAGACAAGATTTCTCTCCTTTATGAATATCTTTTAGTATAAATCGTAGTGGGCTATTAATATTTTCTAAATGTTTATTTCACTTTTAATGATGGATTTTTATAAATCAGCTCAACAAATACTTGAATCCTGAGTGTGTGGGGGAGGGGTAAAGACAGTTGCGAGACCAGGTCACATCTGAGATTTCAGGAAGGCATAATATACACAGCAATTTAAGTGACTGCACAGTGAAGAGGAGTGAGAGCAGTGTTGTGATCCGCTATGACTAGGACCTACAGCTTGTTGTAGGAAGTGTTTAGGGTTTGGATTGGCCTTGAGGAGTAGGGAAGACCTCCATTTGTTATTATTAAAGAACAGAAAGTCAACCAGTGAATTTAGAAGTGTAATTGGCTTTATTCATGAATCTACAGCATCTCCTCCAGCTAATAGAAGGGCGCTACGAGGAGTTGTACAAGATGGAAGGTTTTCATAGGCAGAACGAGGGCAGGACAGGGAAGTTTAGAGTGGAATATTTCATGTAAGGTCACTTTCCCTTAAGGGAAGGTATGGAGTCTCATCAGACAACTTACCTCACTAGTGTTGACCAGAAAATTCCAGGTCGATTGGTTTAAAATTCCACTCCTGAAACTACGGATAAGGTAGGTATTAAGTCTTGGTGGAGCCTAGCAAAGTGACTCCATGTGTGGCCTGTCAGTTCTTTTTAGCAGTAGAAAGGCCTGAAAGTAGGAATATGCATGGCATCTTCTGGGTACATGAGGGGACTAGTCACTGTCAGTTATATTCTTTCCACGGAACAGTGCATTCTGAATTTTGATCTTGTACTGTAGGAACACTCTTCCTATCTGATCCAGAAAGAATCTCTCTCCTGTCCCACCCAAGTTTCAGGGACTACAGGTGACCTCTAGATTTTCTTTCTCTTTGTTCTGAGTCTCCTGCCTTGTCAATGAGCACATGCCAAAAATCCATGAGGTGTGGGTGCCACGGAGAAGGCACCATTTGCTGCCAGTGATGGGGGATTGTGGTAAGCATTGGTTTGTTGGGTACATGCAGTATTAGGTGTTTGGTTTGTTTTCCTACAGGTAGGCTTTGTTATTATACTTCAAACTGTGATGTTTATTATTCAGAAATTTAGACTTATCTTTACTTTTGTCAGGTTTAAGCCGTTTTTTCCATTCCAAACCTTGCAAGGATTTGAAGATGAAGAAGAGCATATCCATATACAACAATGGGCACTTACAGAAGGGCGCCTTAAAGTTACATTGTTAGAATGTAGCAGGTATGTTCTTTGTTTTGTCACTACTACATTATGGGAAAGAAAGTGCAGTGGAAACGTGCTTGAGCAGTATTTGTGTTTATGCCCCCTTTGTGTTAATTTATATTGTATTATCTGTAAATTCTTTAATTGTAAACTTCATAAAAGTAGTCCTTTTCAGCTTGCAAAAAATATAAACCACATTTTATAAAGCATTCTAATAGCGGGGAGGGATGAGGGGGTCATTTATTTTCTGATTCTCAAACTTTTTAGATGCATGATGCTCCGTTGGCATATTTCTGGCTTACTACCTATTGGGGAGCTGTTCATACCATAAGTTTTGAGAATTGTTTGTGATAATTCGAAATACTCAGAAAGTTACAAAACTAGGTTTAGAAACCCCTGTGATTCTTAAAATTTTAGAGCTGGAAGGGAATCTTGAAACAATCTTGCCCAGCCTCCTTATTTTTCTTTACCAGCCTGAAGTTTAAGCTGCATTTTTATATCTTTCTTGAATTACTTACTATACTATTCTCTTTACTTATATCAACATACGAATGTCCAAACCTGAAGAGAATTTTTATAAGAGTTTTTCTGAGCCAAACCAGCAACACATCGGAAAAGCAAGATCTCAGTCTTTCTGGAGAATGACAGTTTGCAGTGTCTTTTATACATTTGGAATTAAGGAGGGAATGTGAGGAAGATACGTGAAGGTAGGAGAATACAAGGTGCAAGATAGTTAACAAAATCATGTGTTCCCTTGAGGGTAGTTACTCCTTCAAGGGATCTCTGAAAGGGGATCGCTCTAGCATTTCAAAGGTATGTTAACCTAAATACACAAGAACAGTGGACAGGGCTGGTCTAAGTCTAAGAGATAAACCTCTTTATAGGCGTGGTGTGTGACTACCCACCATGACCTGCTCAGTTAGGAATTCATGATCAGATCACCCTGTGAGGTTACTTTTGATAAGATTTTTTTACTGAGCCCCTTTTTCTGTCTGCATTTATCTCCTAACACTCATTACTAATATAATAACCAGGATGAGCATTTCAAAATGCAAATCTAATTGTCACTCTCTTACTTAATATTCTTTAATGGCTTCCCCATTACTCTTAGAATATAGATCCAAATCCTTGCTGTGGCCTACATGCCCTCCTACCTCTCTGGCTTCTTTCTCTGCCCAGTGCCTCAGTCATAGGACTTCAGCCACATAGGTCTTCTGAAGGGAAGATGCTAGCAAACTCTTTCTCTAAAGAGGCAGATTGTAAATATTTTAGGCTTTACGATTCACATGCAACTACTCCATTGCAACTCTATTGCAACTACTCCACTCTGCCTTGTAGTGTGAAAGCAGTCATAGATAGGCAATAGGTAAACAAATGCGCATGGTGTGGCTGTGTGCCCGTCAGACTTTACAAGTATATATGAATTTCATAATTTTCATGTGTCATGAAATAGTCTTTTTGCCCCCAACCATTTAAAAATAATAGAAACCACTGATAGCCCACAGCCATTAAAAAATAAAAATAAAAAAAATAATAAAAAAGAAAAAACAAGCAGTGGGCTGGATTTGGCCCATGGACAACCATAGCTCATATCTTTAGACACTTAAAGTACCAAGCTACTTAAAGAACACGGTCCCCCACTGTTTTGCAGACCGAAGGTCCTACCCCATTTTCTGCTCCTTGAAACCAGTCTTTCCTGGGTCACCTCAAAAGCTACCTCCTTAGTGTGTCTCCTGATCATTCCAAGTACAAGTATACCATCTGTATGCTACATTCCTGTGACACTTGTTTATACCACTTATTTGGTACTTATCACTTCTGTTTTTATTTCTAACTCAAAAACAAGTGCTTGGGTACAGAGGTTATATTTTTGTACCTAATGTATTTGTGTCCTTGCTAGTAATTAGTTTACCTTTGAGTATATTGATAATATGCTAAATATTTTTTAAGTTTTGGAGTGACTCATTGTGCCCCATTATGTCAGAAAGTCTGGTTAAAAAGGAATTATTTAAAAAAGAAAGACTAAATATGCTGTAAATTTTGTAAAAGAAACTTCAGTGTACAATAAAAAGACGTACCTCTACCAAAGACTGAATTTGAAGTAGCTGTGCTAATAAGCTGTGGTAATCATGAGCATTCAATATATAATTGTAACTTGGGCTTGTCATATTAATATTTAGAAGGACACTTTCAAGCGGCCTGTGTTTAAGGAAATTTTGAACTAATGGGTTTTTTCTTAATCTTTCAGTGAATTTTCATATAAATCCACACGTATCAGAATTATACTGTTGGGTTGCCTTTCCCAAAATAATCATAGCAACTTCTAAACATTTGAAGGGCAACTTTGCACAAAATTTCTTGACTTTCCTGTTGTTAATTTCTATGTATCTACTTATCCACCCATCCCCAAATCTGCAAAGATAGTCCTGAAGGAGATTTATTTATTTATTTTGTCAAACTTACCTATTGTAAAGCTTTGAGAGTGAATTTTGCCAATGAGGAAAAAATTAGAAGTATTTATAAAAAACAAACTGTTTATTGAAAACATTGGAGTTATACAGCTGGAAGCTATATGCTTTGGGAAACAACATGAAGTAAAAATAATACTGACTTTTGAGTTAGAAAGTGCTGTCTTTACATCCTCGCTATGTACCCTTACCGTTATATGTTCTTAGGCAAGTTACACATCTGTGGGCCAGGTTACTACTACCTTGTCGGTAACTGTGATCAGAGACAGGTAAATAAACCCTGGTGCCTCTCACATAGTAAGCCTTTATCAGCTGTAGCTTCTATTATGCCTTAATGTCATCCTTATAGTGTTTACCAAGAAGAAAACAAATCTTTAAACAAACTTGTTCTTTTTTGCATATTTGGTTGTGACAACTGGAATTTGAATTTTATTAATTTAAAGGGATCTCACTATGGAGGAAGGTTCTTTTCTAATTATCTAAAATAGATAATTAAAAGCTTGGGGGTAGAGATATGATTTTGTTTATAAAACTTAGTTCTTTTGTCAAAGTTTTTAAGTTTTTAAAACAGTCATTCTGAACAGTTGCATATTTTTTTTGCATTGACTGAATTTAATTTTTTAAGTCACAGATGAACTCAATTGCTATATTTGTAGTACTGCTGTTAGAAGACTATCACACATTAGTGTTACAATCATTTTGTTAAAATTATTATTTCCAATTCATAATTTATAGCCTATCTTAAATGATTTGAAGTATTTTGCAAAGAAAACATGCCCCATGTACAGTTAAATAGAAGATAAAATTAGATTGGAACAATCACCTACAGAAAAGATCAGTTTTCTAGCCGCAAAGAAAGCTTTAATGGATTACTTAGCGCTCTTTTTCTGATAAACTGTGCATGTTCTTTAGGAGAAAAAGAATTCTGGCACCAAATTCTAGGAGGGATTTGTCATATACATCTTTATGTAAAAGACAGTGAATAAACTAATGGATATATTTTCTATTCTTTGCTTTTCTTTGGCTGATTTTATTAACTAGTTATATTTTTAAAAAAAACAAACTAAGATATATCGTCAGTGAAGTCAAAGCCTATAAGTTTTATTGTGTGAGAATTCTGTACTCTAAAGCAGTATACTTAGGATATAGCCTGTCCTAATTATAGACAGAAGATTCTAATTAAGGTCAGTTCTTCACTGAGTCACACTTACAGTGTTCTAAAGCCTGTATTTTCTCAGCAGCTTTGAGAGTGTTGTTTTATTTTACTGAGTTCCAAAAATACATCATTAAAAAAAATGTTAACACAAATACAGAAAACCATAGCAGTTGACATTCTACTCTATTGCCAAGTGTCCTGCCTTATTCCCTAGTTATCTATTATTAACACAGACTCGCATATATTTTCCAATGGTTATAATTCTTTATCATTCTTAATTATTTTGCACCTGAATTTGTCCCCTTTTTGGCTTCTAGGAACCTCTTCAAACTGGTTCCGTATGCTTGTGGACATGACCCCCCCTTTTTTTTTTTTGAGGTCTTCATTATTTTCTGGTATAACAAGCTGTTCCAGGTTTGTTTTATATCTTCTCTGCCACACTCCTAGAATCAGCTATTTTACCAAAGAGCCCTGGTTCCTTTTAGTAGAGAATGGTATTAGAAATCAAGATCTGGGTGTTGGGTGTGTTTATTGCTGCTTCATAAATTCATAGTCTTCTTCAGCAGAGAGTTGTGAAATACATATGTGTATAGACACATATATGCATACATACACATGTGCACATACATAATTTAGAAATCATGCATTCACCTGAGACTTTCAATTCCAGTTCATCTTCATAGGGTTGTACCTTGCCTTGGCTCTTCTGTCTTTCAGCCCTTAACCCTGGCTTTAATAATAGCAGCTTTACTCATTTGCTCAATCCTGTAATACATCGCAAATAGTTTAAGAATTGCTTTGTTCATACGAGTACAGAAAACATACTAAAAGGAATTCAGGATTTATTTGTAGTTCTCCCCTACACTACCCAAGACTGAGAGTCTATGGTCAAGTGATGCATAGTCGTGTGCTGCATAATGACATTTCCATCAACGACAGACTACATGTATAATCGTGGTCCCATAAGATTAGATTAGATGGAGCTCAGTTTCCTATAAGAAGTGGAAGTATATGTGGTTCAGGAGGAAAACATTTTTTTTCTCTGATGGGAGCAGTATCTTTGAGGCTTGGCAAAAGTGCTCCTCACACTCAGAGTACCTCAATTTGGAGTGCATGGATTTCATCCCAGTCCGTCAGCCACGACCTCTGTTAGCACAGAGGAGCCCGTCCTCTCAGCCCTACATATTCAGAGAGCGCTGCAGCCCTCCCAAATCTAGCTTGATGGTCGTCAGAGTGCTGTAGATTCTTTGCTGAGTACTTAAGATCCTGTACAAGGACACAGGTCCGCAAGAACTACTACCTTAACGAGTATTAAGTGCCACTGCCACTTGAGTAAAAGCTTTCGGTGGTAGTACGGAGCCAGCTTGGCTGTGTACCTTGGGAACATGCTGCACAGGTTTGTAGCCTAGGAGCAATAGGCTGTACCATGTAGCCTAGGTGCGTAGTGGGCTTAGCCATTCAGGTTTGTGTAAATGCACTCTGTGGTATTTGTACAATGATGAAATTGCTTAATGATACATTTCTCGGAACATATCCCCATTTAAGTGACACATGACTATTCATAAATTAGACTAAATTTTCCCCTTTGGTGTGATTATACTACTCATTTGAAATATAGGTAGGTTTATTTCTTTTAGTTTGCTTTCAGTTTCAATGTCCCCCACCAAACCCTGCCTTTTCATCTTCTTGTTGTTTGGTTATTAGCTACATATTTCTTCTTGATATGTTGACCCTTTTATCATTATGAAGCAGATGTTTCAGAAGATTCCAAATTTGGAATTCATCTGTCCTGGGTCTGTATAGGTTCTCTTTTCTTCCTCCACCTTCTCTTTCCTAAAGTTTTTGTGTTAGAAAATAATAGTTTCTTTTGTAATTGAATATCTTCATTGCTACTTCACATAGGAAAACATAGCCATTTTTGTTCTTCTGATGTCTAAATTGTAAAAAAAAAAAATTAAGAAAATAAAGTAGGAATCCAACTGACATAAAACCAAAGCTAAAATGCCAAACTCCAAAACCTTTTAAATGTGATGATGGCATGCTATATGCTTATATATAATACCTTCAACAAAAGTAAATTGTAAAATGAACTGTGGTCAGAAAATAAGAATTCAGAAGAGTATTTATGTCTTTGGATTTTTCCTCTCTTTGTACCATTATGCCAAACTGTCAGTCAGTGCTTCTAATATATTTTATTTGCAGATAGGATTCATAATTTTAACCAAAAGATAACTGCCTTTTTTTCTTTTTCTGCCAAAATTTCTCGTACTATAGAAATCTAGTGCAAGGAAAAGTATTTTGGAACTGAAGCTACTATGAAACACTTCATGGATAAGAGATGCATCCATTTTATTTACCCATTCACCAGTTGATGGATGTATGGGTTGTTTCTCCTTTCTGGCTCTTCTGAATAATGCTGCTGTGAACATTCACATCAAGTTTTTGTGTGCATGTATGCTTTAATTTCTCTTGGCTCTATATCTAGGAGTGGAATTGCTAAGTCTTAAGTTAACTCTAACTTTTTAAGGAACTGCCAAGCTAATTTTCAAAGTTGCTGCACCAGTTTACATTTTCTCCAGCAATGTATGAGGATTCCAGTTTCTCCACATCTTCCCAATATTTGTTATTGTCTCTTTTTTTATTAGTCATCTAGTGGGCATGAAGTGCTATCTCACTGTGGTTTTGATTTGCTTTTCCCTTATGTCTGATGATGTCAAGCATATTTTCATGTGCTTATTGGTATTTGCATATCTTCTTTGGAGAAATGTCTCTTCATATTCTTTGTCCGTTTTTAAATTGGGTTATACTAGACCCTTATGAGATACATGATTTGCAAATATTTTCTCCCATTCTGTAGATTGTCTTTTGCTTACTTGGTGGTATCTTTTGAAGCACAAAAATTTTGATTTCAGTGAAGACCCATATATCTATTTTTTCTTTTAGTACTTGGTGTCTTATCTTAAGAAACCATTGCCTAATTCAAAGTCACAAAGATTTGCTTTTGTTTTCCTCTCTTACATTTAGGTCTGCGAGTCATCTTGAGTTAATTTTTCTGTTATTTTTAAAAACATAAAAATGGTGACATGAAAAATATAGAACAACTTATGATCTCATGGAAGGATAACAAGAATTGTGCGCTCTTGTTCCTGAATCCTGAGGATTAACATCTGATGGGAATTTGGGAGCACTAGCTGGTACATAGCCTTCTCTGCATGGTTGTAAAGGCTCTTAGGTAATTTGCTCTTTTGAACAGATGGTGGCAGCAGAGCTTTGATAAATGAAAATTCTCAGTACTAAGTATTTTATGAATCTTAATGTTTTTGACAATGGGTTGTTAAATACTGTTTAAATTTCCTTTTAAGATTAAAAATTATTTAAATTTAAGGATTTTTTTTTTGTTGTTACCATGACTTTATTCAGGCTTTTCAGTTTGTGAAGTATGGGCATGATTCATGTGAGGTCTCCAACCATTTTCTCATATCACTTTAATGTGTTTTATCCACTTTTCTTTCATTATCTCACTCCTACCCCCATGATCTTCATGTAAAGATAAAGTAATAGAGTAGCAGTCAAGGTGTTGATTAATGCTAAAGCTATTCTCAGGCTTACTCTTAAAACACATTGGTAGGCTTATGGTCTGATTTAAAAGATAAATTCGATATGTGGGTAACATTTTCTTTCCTAATAAAAACTGCTTTATTTCATCTCAAGATTGGACCTGAGATTTCCTTTTTTAGATCGGAATATTAAGCAGTAAATTAGGTGAAGCAGTTATTCCTTGACAATTGTTTTCAAGATAAAAATAACAAATATTTATTGAGCACTCACTGTTTACTAGGCACTATGCTAATTGCACAGCACGCATTGTCTTCTTTTTCTCTTGCAACAGGTCTAAGAGGTAAGTACTATTTTTGACCTGAATTTTTCAGAGGAAGAGATGGATTTAGAGAAATTAAACAATTTGCCTAAGGTCACATTAGTAGATGGAGAAGTGTGTGTGTGTGTGTGTGTGTGTAAGCAACAATATTGTACTATTTTATGTCTGTTTAAATTTTTATAGAGATGATATACTATATGCGTTGTTCTACAACTTATTTTTTAAATTCAGCACTCTGATTTGAAGATCTATAGCTGTTATTACTATGAATAGATATCTGGTCAATTTGTTTCCTTCATGAATAGGTACTGCTTTTTATTTGTTTGATTTAGTTGCTAAAAAACAGCTTGTCCTGGAATTTCACCTAATTTTAGCTTTACTTCACTTTTCCACTAGAGGGTGTACCAAGTATTTGATTTAATTTTTTTTTTTCTGTGACCAAGATTATAATAATATAATGATCAGAAAGAATTTTAATGCATACAACTGGTCTAACAGTCTTCTTGTTTTATGTTTATACTGCAGGTTACTCATTTTTGGATCCTATGACAGAGAGGCAAATATTCATTGCACACTTGAGTTGAGCAGTAGTGTTTGGGAAGAAAAACAAAGGAGTTCTATTAAGACGGTAAAATTGATTTGCATAGTTTTACATGTCTATAAAGTTTGTATTCTATAAGCATGTTTTTATTAATATTTCTACATCCCTGGAGTTGTTTTTGGTCATGTGCAAATAATTATGAACAACTCTTATTTGTTTGTCTTGTTACAGTACAACATCAGTCATGAAATGAATCACATAAAACTAGTATTCAGAATACTTGCTTGCATAAGAAACCTAGTCTGACTACTTTTTCTTCCAGAACTTTAAAATTGTTTCACAGTTATGGAATTAGAAGGGAATTCCAAACACCTTAGAAAGCATGTCAATTCAGAGCATTTATTCATTCAACGGATTCGAGTGCTTACTTTGTACTAGGCACTGTTTTAGATGCTAGGCAAACAGTTCAAGACAAGAAAATACCCTTTTTTTGTGGTGCTAACATGGAGTGGAGGTTCGGTGTGAGGGATAGAAGAGTGGAAGATGACCTACACATGATAGAATGGAGGTAACAGCAATAGGTGAGTAAACCACAGTAGTGAGCAAAGTAATTTATAGAGATTGACAAGGACTGTGAAGAAAATAGGGTTATGACAAAGGAGTAATGAGTTATAACAAAACAGACTCTTGAGATAGGGAAAGCCTCTGAAGAGATGTCACTGAAGCAGGCTTGCCAGCCCACGACTCTGGAGCAGGATGCCCAGTTGAATTTGAATTTCAGATAAACAAAAAAAACTTTTTTTTTTTTTTTTTAAAGAAGTATGTCCCCTATTTTTATTCTGTAAATCTGAAACTTTACCCTGGAGATGAAGCTTGAATCATGGAGAGAAGCAAGCGATGTAGAGAGTTTAGGGGAATGAGGGAATGGAAGGCATTTCAAGCAAAAGGAACAGCAGATGTGTGAAGGCAAATGAGTTTGAGGAACAGAAAGAAGGCTAGTATAGCTAGAGCGTGATAAGTGGGGTAAAGAGTCATGCTTAATCATATAGGGCAGGAGTCCGCCACCCCTGGGTCATGGATCCGTGGCCTGTTAGGAACTGGGCCGCACAGCAGGATGTGAGCAGCAAGCCAATGAGCAAAGCTTCATCTGTATCTGCAGCCACTCTCCAGTGCTAACATCATCACCTCAGCTCCACTTCAGATCATCAGGCATTAGATTCTCATAGGAGCACTGGTACCTGGTGCCAGAAAGGTTGGAGACCATTGATATTGGGCATGGAGTTTGAATTACTATTTGTGGTAGGTGGGAAAGTTTCAAGGTGAGTGAGAGGACCCATCTTCTGTATATTTTGCAAAATATTTTCTGCCCGTGTAGAGAAAAGTTTGTAGGAAGATGAGAATAAACCTAAAGAAAGCAGTTAGGAGGTGTTGGTTACTTTAACTGGGTGGTAGCTTAGGAAATGAAAGGAAGAGACAGGATTAGGGATATATACTTTTGGAGTGTGAAGGACTTAGAGTTCTGGTTTCTTTCTTGGTATCTCTCAAAAGAGACTATCACCTACATTGGAAAATTTTGAAAAAAAATAAAGTCTTTTAAAATATTTTAAGTGCTATAATTAAAAGTAAAACAGTGCTTTACTCTTAACCTGTTTTAGTTGAGCTTGTTGGGTTCTATGGGTTCTTAAATGAATAAAAAGTGTCACTAGTTATTAATTTATTTCTAAAATTGAGTCGGTATTTTCTGAATATTCTGCATAGCAGTTTTAATAGCAATTATAATTTCTTGGAATGTGAGTAAATCTAGTAGTGTGTTAAAGATTTATAGCATTTATCAAAATGTTATTATCTACAGAATTTCTTTATTAAGCCCATGAAGTTTCACATTAGAAATAGAATCCTAAAACTTAATATCTGAAATAGGAAAAAAAAGAAGTGTCTATGTCCTAAAGGAAACTACAGCCCCCCCGCCCTTTTTATTTGAAATTTCATTTACTAAGCATACACTGAAGTATTATATAGATTTGGTAATAATAAAATTCCAAGAGTGCTTGGAACCCCCAAACCTCTCTAGGGTTACTTCTCATCTTTTTAAAGGTAAGATCTTAGCACATCAGTAGTTTTTTGCAAGAATAAATTAATTATAGGTGTATTCTTTAAAGATGTATTTAACAACTTAGGTATTTAGTTGTTTTTATCACATCTTGCTCTTGGTGGCAGTATAACCAATTGTATGATTATCATTTGTAGCCGATATTTAGAAAAACTTTCTCTATTATGTCTTTATTGTACTGATGAATAGGTACTTTTGAACTGTACTTACTTAGCTGTTTTATAGTAATAGTAATTTGCCTTTTGGTATTTCTAGAATAGTCTATAATTCTTTGTAGCATTTTTTTAAGTAGTCGCAATTCTCAATTTTTAAAATAAGCCCATAAGCATATTGCCACGCACTTGAAGAAAATGACTTTTAATGGTTATTTATAGATGTTCCTTTGACTTTTAAATTTTTTTCCATTTTCCTTCTGTAATAACTGTTGTGAACATCCTTACATAAAAATTGAGCAGGGCAGGAAAGTAGAGAGAAGTAAAGCTGGAAAGGGAGGGTGGGCTGACCCACAGAGTTTGAATTTATGACAGTAGTTGAGAGCTATTGAAGATTTTGAGCATGGGAATGACATGGTCAAAATAATGGTTTTTAGGATAGTCTCTCCTTTTCTTGGTGGTTGTTCATGTCTTATCTTTCTTTTAAGTTACATCTCAGCCAATTTAAAGCAATTCCTCAGAGGAATAAAATAACCAGATTTACAGTTTGTTCTGACGTATATGATAAAGCAGTATTGTTTTATCTGGATATGAAATAGTTATTACTTGCCACTGCTGTTGGCATTTTCAGTTTCTTTTATTATATGAGATTAGACAGCTTTAATATTTTATAGCAAAGGTTAGTAAGACTTTAATCTTGAGTCGTAATTTTAGATCTTAGCATATGTCATAAGTAGTTTTGGAGAAATAATTCTAGGTTACTAATTACATCTGGTGTCAAAAATGTCAGCAGGAGTTAAGTGTCTCCAGGCATTAAATTACATAAGTCTGAATTTAATAACTCTAAGGAGAAGAATTAGAGTGTTCTTCAAGACTACATAAAACATTGCAGAATAGGATTCAAAAATTTGGGATGTATTGTAAATTTGGATAGAAAAAAAGAGCATCATTAAAAAATAAGTATACTAAAGTATTTGATGAGCTTAGAGGCTATCTTTGTATAAATACAATCTTCAGATTTAAATCAGTTTTTAAATGTTGATATTTTTCAGTTAGTCTAACTTCAGCAAATATGCAGAATGAAAGAAACTTGATTCCTTCTATATTTCAAATGTGCCTTTGAGTTTTTAAAGCATTATAATATACCATATGCCATTAATAGGGTAAGATCAAGAATAGGAAAGCTTTAGATTCATAGTACTTGCACAAATGTTGGGGGTGGAGATGGAACAGATGTAATACATTAGCTGCAAGTATCAGGAAATGTAATGAATGTGGCTTAAGCAAAAAAGAGACTTATTTGTCTTATGTGATAAGCCCTCAGTTACTATGGCAGTTCAGCAATAATGTAATCAAGGAGCCTAGCTCTTACTGACTTCCTCCATCATCCTTAGTGTAGGGTTTTTGTCCTTATGGTTGAAAGATGTCGAATGTCTCCCTCAGTATTCACCTTCCAAGAAAAAGGGTGCAGTCTAAGGCCTGCCAAATTCACATGTCAGCCAGGTTTTGTCCTTTTTAAATGCTTTCCTGGAAGCTCCTCCCAGGGATTTCCACTTATATCTCATTGGCTAGAACTGAGTCACATGGCCTTCCCTAGCAGCAAGGAAGTATGAAGAATCATTTTAGTTTTTCAGCCTTTGTAGAAGGTAAAGAAAAAGGATTATGAATATTTTTTAGGTAGCCAGTCTTGCCATAAGAAAAAATTGAAATCCACCTGATGACTTTTTGTGTTAGAGGGAATTTTTCTTAAATTGGGATGTCAGGGAATAATTTAAAAGAATAGCAAATAGCCTTCATAAAGCCTGTTTTCTACCTTATTAGAGATCCAAGGCAAGTTTGGAACAAAATCAGACACTCAGGTCAGTGCTGTGCTTGTTATCTCTGTTGCAAAATAAAAGAGCCCATCGGATAAATGAGGCACTTTGTGGTGGTGTTCTTTAAAAGTAATAAATAAGGAAAGATTCCACATGAACATCAAATAAAATGTGACCGCTCAGGTGCAAATAAATTAGATATTAGGTTTAAACAAAAATTAGAGGATCATCTTGCAAGAGATGACAAAATCAATACTAAAAATACATTCACCTACACCAAAAGAGGCAAGGCAGTTTATTTTCAGTAATATGCAAGTTTGGTGATGATAGTTTGCTTCCTTTTCACTAACGAACAAATTTAAGGAGTTTTCAGATTTTAAAAAGTTTCAGGTCATGATATTTCAGTAAGAAAGTATAAAAACAACTAATATCTCTAGAATTTATAGTGCTTATCAAATAAAATTCACAGTAAAATTAATCTGTCATATTACACATATTAAAGCATGCATAATCATTATTGTGTGCATGGTAAAGCAAACAGGTCACATAAATGTCACATAAACACAGTTTTAAAGAGAGAGATCCTGAGTGTTACACTCCCAGAATTGGAGTTCCCTTACCGGTGACCACCCACTTGCTTTACCTTTAGTTCCAGACATAAAATAGGTTACGAGTAAATGTTCTTTTGTCCTTCCCTCTCTCTGTTTCACCTATCCTGCCTGTGCCATTCATGCCATCTCTTTTATCATTTATTTGCACTGTCACTTCGTCCTTCAAACAAATTTATTCTTTGGGCAACCTGGAATGCTCGAGGCCATCTGGGGAGAAGAGAAGGCACTTTGAAAATGAGCCGTGGAACCTCTGAATGCGGGTGCTCTGCAGTAGAGAAGGGCAGTGGCGCCAGGAGACACCCGGCTGTTCTGTCGAGCTCTCTCCCTTGTTCTTCATTCTAATAAAAGGATGAAAGGGGTTTTAATTCTAAAAACAAGCTTTTTAATATTCATTTTCTGA